ACAAAAAACTGAAAAACAAAAAAAACACCCCCAAACCCCCCAAAACAAGGTAGTGCATTTCCCCAGGGGGTAGGGGAATTTACACTGGAGCCGCTGGGAGCGGAACGGAGATCTTCCGGCTACAGAAACCTGCAAAGAAAGACACTCAAAACAGAAAAAGAAACACAAAAGGAAACAAAATAGATCACCAGGCAATCTGGAGGGGCAGGGAGCCGGAAAAGAGGGGTGGGATGGGTGGTAGACCTGGCAGGACAGGAGCAGGCAAGAGGGGACTGTGAAAGTTAGGGAGAAGATGGAGGGAAGGTAACAAGCAGAACAGTTTGGTGTCCTTCCAGAGCCCTGGGTAAAAAAACCCCTCCTACCACCCATGCCCACCTACCCTTGAGCAGCCCCCAAGGTGGTGAAGTGGGACAGGGAAACAAGGGGAGCAGCTTGCGCAGTTGAGACGTGTCCATGGCGAATCCCCAGAGTGAATGAGCAGCCCCCTGCCCCACTCCCTGGGCCTTCCCCTACTCCCCAAAGCAGGTCCCTCCTCAGCAGTTAGTTATGGGATTCTCCCCCCTTTCCACAGTATATCTTTTTTTTTAAAAAATATTTTTTTTTCCATCAAGGTCATCTTCTGTTTTTCTTTTTTTTTTTTTTAATTCTTTTTTTTTTTTCCTTCTTTTCTCTTTTTTTCCTCTCTCTCCTCCTAATACACACTTTTTTTAGTAAGGGGAATACCATGATGTCGCTCTAGCCCGGCCCCTGGAAGAAAGAAGGAGAGTCAGGTGTTAACATGATCACTTAAGAGTCAGCACAAGCCCCTCCCCGTGGGCCCTTGCCCCAGTTATAGTGCAGGAAATGGGGGGAAAGAAGTTTCCAAGTATCCTAAACCTGACCCCATTATCCCAGAAATCATGACACACTTGGCAAATGGGAGGGGGCAATTAACGGAATACCTTGCCAGAGGCAAAAATGTGTATCTGAGATATGGGGACAAGAAAATGGACTTGTTTATCCACTTTTCAGTTCTCCACAGCGCTAAACCCCAGGCCTTTACCATCAGATCCTCCCTAATTCCTGGGAGCAGATAAGTAAATCTTATGAAAACCCAAGGTCTATAAGCCTATCCTGTCTACTTAAAGGTAGAGAGATAATAAAGCAACAACACGGGCATCACACTAGGCCCAGAAAAAAAAGTTAACCTTGTAAAACACTGGCTCAGTTGAATAAGTATCTCATGATCCTCCTACATGGCTATTGAAAACGATCAACTAGCCTATGGTATTCTTCCAAGGGAGGTTCAATCTTCAACCCCTCCTTAACTCTGGGAAAAGTAGCAAATGTCCAAGCAGTGCCTTCACTATACTCAGGCAGTTTTTCCTGGCCTGTTTTGTAAACACCTTCACTGCCACCAACTCTCAAGGGAAAAAAGGCTGGGGAAGAACCATCTCTCAGAACAAAGTGGAGAGATCCAGCCCTGATCAGCAATTCCTGCTCCAGAAAACGATGATGAGACTGGCCTCCTGGCCTGGCCTGCAACTACCTTCCTCACCCTGCACAGGCAGGAGACCAAGTCCCTGGAGACCAAGGGGAGGGTAAGCGAGGGAGGTTCCTCAGATCAGGAGAGAAGGAAACATACAGGGCTCATGGGAGGCGGGGGAGAGGAGCAGCCCATCTATCCTGACCTGTAGACGCGACCCCGGGGCCTGCTGTTAAAACCACTGTAGAATCGAGAGCGGGAACTGTTGTAGTTGGTGGTTCGGGCACGGTATCGGGCTCGTGGGAAACCCCGGTCTGTTGTGCTGATGCCTGGTCTGTTGGTTCGTTTTGGGATCACCTGACAGCGAGGGATGTACAACAAAAAGTCTCAGAATAAGTCTGGAGAGTTTACACAGAACCAGAACAGCAATGGGTATGGGGCTTACCTTGATTTGTCTTCCTCTAAATAGGGACTCATCTAAGGCCAAGGAAGTTCTCACTGACTCTTTGTCTGAGAACTCTATATATGCAAACCTGAAAAGAGTAATTATTTTATCTATCTGAAGTTTAAAAAAGCAACTTCCGTCTCAAATCCAATTTTTTGGCATGCTTTACTTGGATAATAACACATCCACATTTTGAAATTACTTTTCAAAAAATTTTTAAATGCAAGACTTTAATCAAAATTTCTAACTACTCTTGGAAAATTATAAAACAATATCCACAGGGCCTGGATTTCCATTATGGCAGAACCAGCTAGGGCTAAGCAGAAGCTGTCCCTCCCTCGTCTAGTTCATGATCCCACCCACACTAACCTTCATCTTTATCTAAAGGCTTCTGAGGACATTTACGTGCAACCCCTGATACGTATCGACATTAATACCCCATAAGATGAACACCACTTACTTTTAACAGCTAGTTAACATACTGCTCAATACAAAACATAATTTATCTATTTTTAAAACGTGACCAAAATGATCTCAATTTACTTCCCTACTTACCCTTTAGGATGGCCACTAAATTTGTCACAGAGTATGGTAACACGGTTGACTGAACCACAGCCATGAAAGTGCGCTTCCAGCTCTTCTGCTGTTGCACCATAGTCCACCTGTGGGGGTAGAGGAGGTTATGTTTCACAGGTACTGGGCAAACAAACTCCCATCTCAACAGGTACTGCCTAGCCTCTGGGCTGGGCCACCATATACACCAAGGCAAATCAAATCTGGTTCTTTAAGAAACTAATCCTTTTCTCTTCCCAACACCAGAACCTCTGTGGATCACCATTACCTTTTACCTTCTCCAAATCCTGCCAATACTCCCCAAATCCACCACCTATCCTTGAAATGTTCCTTTCAATACTACTACTAAGCAACTCCCAAACAAGAGCTTCTCCCAACCCCTATCAGGGCCCTAATACATACATTGCCGACATAGATGGAACGGGCATCAGCCTCCATCTTCTCTTCAATGGACATGATCACTGGGCCAGCTTTGAAGAAAAAAGAATCAGGAGGGAAAACGAAGCTAGTTTTCTATTTGACCAGTATATGCACCACTATCACCACCAGTGCTAGAGTGAATGAAAAGACTTTGGTCTGCTCTGTTCCCTGCTGTACCCATTACTAAGAATACCATCTAACACACAATAGGTACTCAGTGAATATTTGACAAATCAAGCAACAGATTAACACATTCCTAAAAAATCAGAGAAAACAGTACAGGAATTCCCTCCTGTCCCCAAACCAAGTCCCAATTTAATGAACAGCTTTGAATGAAATCAACTGAAAAGTGAACAAAAACCAAGGGAACGCAAACTCAACATTTCTGGATTAAAGGGAAAGCCCCCTGTAGCCAAGCAATTTCTTAGAACTCCTAACTAAAAGGTCTCCCTCCAACTAAAAGAACTATGAGCGTTGAAGGTCAAATGCCAGTTGGAAACCTCCACAAAGAGTGGAGGTACAATAAAGAACAAAGAGCAACACATATGTAAAAAGGACAAAGAAAGGCACAAGATAGCCAACATCAAAACAGATTTTTACCTCACTAAGGTCAGAGGAACACACAATGGACAATGACCACAACACCAGCCCAATAATCGCTCAGACAAGCAGCTTCAAAGTCCCGAGCATCTAATCCCATACAACCCGTGTTCGCATAACCCTTCCGAGGACCCGGGTTCCGCGTGCAACCGCCAGTTACTCACCATTGCCTGGAGGTGGACTCATATTCATCTGTTTCTCTACCTCGTTCTGTAGCTCCTTTAGCTTCTCGGCTTCTTCCTCCATCTCCCTGACTCGAGCTTTGATCGCTTCCAGCTCCTACAATGAGTGGAAAGGGTATGGAGAAGAGCTTAACAGGAACCAACGCAGGGGCTGCGCCCAGCTATCCGTCGAGCGCGGCCTCATGCTCGGCCATTTCCCTCGCCCCACGCGCGGGTCACGAAGAAAAGAAAAGCAAGCTACCTTCTCTAAAACAACACTAAGCACCCATAACGCCCGAATCAACCCGGCCGGGCCCCTTCTGGCGGTCTAGGAACCGTCCCCGGCCCTGCCCCAGCCACGTTATTCCCCGCCCACCCCCACCCCCACCCCCCGCCTGCCTCCCGCTCGCCGAAGCTCCGGGCCTCCCATGACACGGCCGGCCCTGATCGTTCGCCCTCTTTCCCTCACCGGGTCCTCAATGGCGCCGTCCCCCGGGTCACCCTCGACCAGTCCCGGCTCCTCCTCCTCCTCCTGGCTGCCGGGGGCTCCCGAGCCAGGCCCAGGGCCCGGAGCTCCCGGGGGGGCGCGGGGCCGGGGCGGCTCCTCTTCGGGCTCGGGCTCCGGCTCGGGCTCCAGCAGCAGCTCCTCAGGCTCCAGTTCCTCAGACTCCAGGCCGTTCCCGTAGTCCCCTGCGCCCCCCGGGGCCCCCTCCCCGGCCTCCCCACCGGCCCCGGGCACAAGATGGCGCCGCCGCCCCGGCCCGGAGCCCCGACCGCCCGCAGCCCCCGCTGCTGCTGCCGCCGCCGCCGCCGCCGCCATCGCCGCTCAGACTGGGGCCCGCCGCCCGGCGATTGGAGAACTGCGCCGGGCACGCCGAGGATTCATTAGTCTAGCAGCCTGCCCGTCATCACGAGCTAGGACCCCATTGGGGAATATTACTTGACAATCAAATGAGATCCCACCTCTAAGGCGGGACATTGCACCAAATTCTCAAATCTCGGTAGGGAAATTCGCTTGTCAATCAACATATGTCCCACCTCCTCTCTAGGCCTTAGGTAACAATACCGCCAAGCTGTGACGACGTTCCTGCTTCCCCGCCTCCAGGCGGATCCGCGACGTATATGACGCTTGGTGATTGGCTGCTGGCTGGGCGAGGGGAAAGAACCAGTCTTCCGATCGCCTTGCCGCACCGGCTGTCTCAGATGCCGATTGGCTCGCGGGATTTGAAGGGCTAACACCCGTTTCCTGACAGATGAACCTTGCCCCGCAACGGACGGCCAGGCTTCTAGCAAGGGAAACCCGAGATCACATGATTAGTCCTTAGGGGAGCCGCCATCTTGACACTAGTGGTTGCCATCTAGAGAGCTTTTGGAAGGCAGAGGTCGGAAACATTGAGGCGAGTTCTGGAATCTGGTTTGCTAACCAGGGAAGAATCAGTAGATGGGATGTTGCTGGAAATGGAGGTTCTCAATGGCGCTCTCCAGTAAGCTTACTTTTCCCATCCAGGTTATTGGTACCAACATCCGTCAGTTCTCCCAAACCAAAAAGCAGGGAGGAATCCTCACTCCAGAGCTACTAGTCGTTTCTGATCTGTCTTCTTTGCATAGGCATACTTTACAAGCCCTCTGTTCATGCCTCAGTTTTAGCCTGTTTCTTGGACTGTTTGCTACAGACCCCTAATAGGTCTCTCAGCTTCCAGCGTCCCCCTTCCAAGCCTCGCCGCTACCAGAGCTGGCTCCCCTTTGCTGGTCCGGTAAAAATAAAACTTAACCGTGGCATTAGAGATCTCGGGATAGCCTACTTCGCAAATGTTATTTCCACACTTCTCGTTCCAGTGGGCGTACCTGCATCCAGGTCTGTACCTCTACGCCCCTGTACACCTCAAACCCCAGCATCACCTCTCTTGCAAAACCTTCCACTAGCCTTCTCTCCTTTCCCATGACAAGCAGGTCTACTTCCACTGTGCGCTCAATTATTTTGTCCTGCATTGTGGGTTTGGAGATGAGTGGTGAGATCCTATTTATATTTGCAGCCCCACTGTGAGGTTAATATGCTTTGCACATAATAGGTGTCCAATAAATGTTTACATTCATTGGGAATCTGGGTGCTACCCTCATTTTCCAATGCTTTCCCAGCCCCCAGACCTTCCTTCAGACCGCAGAGGAATTCCTCCACGCAGGTGCCCAAACACGCGTTTGTACTCAGATAATCAATGAGACCTAGCCCTGGAAAGCAGGGTTTCCCTTTTGTAGCAGTGGTACTACGCATTTTTTAAAAAAAAATTAGGAATGACGGTGCTAAGTTTGCAAAAGGGTTATTTGTGGTCAGACCAAGCTCCGGGTTGACGGCGAGATTCAAATGAGGCCATTCAAATTAGTTAATCAGACAACCCCAATAGGATGTGCATGGCTAGGGTGGGGATTTGGACAAGAGATCCGTTAGCAAACCAAAAGGTGGAAAGCTTCTTAGTGTACCCCATTCTTCCCCTCACCCTCACTTTTTCTCACAGATCCTTACCTCAGGAACAGGGGAATTCTGAGCAGAGTCCTAGTTCTTAAAATTTCAGTGAAAATTACATCAGCAGCCATCGCAGCTCCAGTGATCTGGGAGAACTAACTTGAGCACCGAAGACAAACTCTAAAAGACTGTGAAATCGCTGGAAGAAAAAGGTTGTCTACCAATCTTAACCTAATCAAGATGTTGATGTTTTATTGGTTCCTAATTTAAGCTAATCAGGCCAATCAAAGGAAAAGTGACTTTTTAATAATGCCTTCAAATCCTAATTTTGTTGAGCACTTGATTTTGTAGCAGGTACAATCCTAGATTCCTTATTATATCTCATTGAATCCTTGTAACGACTCTATGAAGCAAATGTTTCCAAAACTATAACTTTTCTTAGGGATGAAGAAAGAGTGAAGTAACTTACCCAAGCCATGGAACTAACTAGCAGTGAGTAAAGGGGAAAAAAAGGGGGGGGGGGGGGCATCCGCCGGCTCAGGTCATGACCTCCCCATTCACAAGTTAGAGCCCTCTCGGGCTCTGTGCTGATAGCTCAGAGCCTGGATCCTGCTTCAGATTCTGCGTCTCCCTCTCTCTCTCTGCCCTTTCCCTGCTTGTGCGCTCTCTCTCTCAAAAATAAACATTTAAAAATTAAAAAAAAAAAAGTGTGCAGGGAATTCAGAGCCAGCTTTTGAAGCTTAGATCAAAATTACTACAAGGTCTGCTTTAGTACACAAAAATTAAATTATGTATGATGTTGAAGTTGGGAAAAGACTAGATTCCAACAACAGACAAGTGTTTAGGCAAGCTGTTATTACATCCAAAGATTATTATGCACCTATTAAAAGGTTTACACATAGTGTGTAGTAACATGTGAGTGTAATTACATTAGGCCAAAGAAGTAAATATAAAATTGTATATAAAGTATGATTGTGGTCTTATTTTAAAAAAATTTTTTTTAATGTTTATTTATTTTTGAGAGAGAGAGAGAGAGAGTGTTAGCAGGGGAGGGACAGAAAGAGAGATGGAGACGCAGAATCCGAAGCAGGCTGCAGGCTCTGAGCTGTCAGCAGAGTCCGATGTAGATCTCAAACTCACAGGCTCTGAGATCATGACCTGAGTTGAAGTCGGATGCTTAACTGACTGAGCCACCTAGGTGTCCTTGATCTTTTTTTTTAAAGTAATTTGGACTGAGGCATCTGGGTGGCTCAGTTGGTTAAGTTTCCAACTTCGGCTCAGGTCATGATCTGGCGATTTTTCAGTTAGAGGCCCCCCTTGGGCTCTGTGCTGACAGTTGAGGACCTGGACCTTGCTTTGAATTCTGTCTCCTACTCTCTCTGCCCCATCATGCTCTGTCTCTCTCTCTCTCTCAAAAATATATAGACATTAAAAACAATAAAAATAAAAAATAACTTGGACTAAGAAAATAACTTGGACTTAAGGGGGAAAAAGGGAGCAAGAATCAGTTCAATCTTTTCTTTGGTAATATGTACTAGAAACTTTCAAAATGTTGATTCTTAAACCAGTAATTGTATTTCTTATGATCTAAAGAAATAATCTACACACTGGATAAACATTTGAGAATAAAGACATTCATCAGAGTGAAAAATGTAATCTTGAATGTCCAAGTGGCACACTCAGGAAAATTATTATATACACATAGATGTAATTTTATATGGTCGTTATGCCTTCAAAACATTTTTAATGACAAGGAAAAACTGCAATATAATGGTAAGCAGAATTGTAGTATAGAAAATTGTATATACAGTATGATCATAAAATATAAACACAGACAGAAGATGGGAAAGAAATACGCCAAAATGTTAATAGTAGTAATTTCTGAGTAGTAGGATTATAACTGACTCATAAATTTCTGTTTTATGATTTTTTTCCACAATATCATGTTATTTTTGTTTAAAATTTAAAAACCATCAAACTTCCAAATTTACTCTAGTAAGTATGATTACTTTTACAAATACGTTTAAAAATATATTGGGACGCCTGGGTGGCTCAGTTGGTTGGGTAGCTTCAGCTCAGATCATGATCTCATGGTTCGTGGGTTTGAGCCCTGTGTCAGGCTCTGTGCTGACAGCCAACTCAGAGCCTGGAGGCTGTTTTGGATTCTGTGTCTCCCTCTCTCTCTGATCCTCCCCTTCTCATGCTGTCTCTCTCAGAAATAAGTTTTTAAAAACGCTAAAAAATTTAAAAAAATATATATATATTTGAATGGTGACTTGCAAAGTAAGATACTTCCCTATTAGATTATAAACTGTAAAAGGCAGGGACATCATATTAATTATATTTGTATTTTCATTGCCCATCACTGTGTATTCAGTAAATGCTAACTGAATTAATACTGTTCCATAATCATTTTATCATCTTGCCTGTTGTTGATGCATAGAGAACATCAAAGAGAGAAGTTTCTAAGAATGAATTTGTAAAAAATTAGTGCATAATGATGTGATATGTACCCATTATGAATTATAATTTTCCTTCATTAATAACCTCTCAATAGAAGGCCAGGGAATTTTGGGAAAACTGAAACTCATTGTGCACTAGAAGAAGGAAAAAGGTGCTAATAGAAGTGAATGGTTAGTGAAGATAAGGAGAATTAGGGGTGCCTGGGTAGCTCAGTTGGCTAATCATGTCTCTTGGGTTCAGCTCAGGTCACAATCTCATGGTTTCTGAGTGTAAGCCCCGCGTTGGGCAGCGTGGTGACAGTGCACCGCCTGCTTAGGATTCTCTCTCTTCCTCTCTCTCTGCCCCTCCCATGCACTGTGTGTGCTCTCTGTCTCTCAATATAAATAAAGTAAAAGTAAATAAACTTAAAAAAAATTAAATCAGTAAAAGGGGATGAGGGAAACTCCAGTTCTGTCCAAAAGGGAAAACTTTTCTCACCAAACAATATAAATACTTGGCTTTTTGGTAGTTTCATCCCTGCTTTTAACTCTTGCTTTTTTTTTTTTTTTGTCTGTTACAATAATTCTCTATAATCTAGAACTACATTGTTTAATATGGTACCTATTAGTCACAAATCGCTTGAGCACTTGGAACGTGAGTAGTCTGACTTGAGATGTACTAAAAGTATCAAATATACATGAAATTGCAAGACTCTGTATGAACAAGAGACTGTAAAATAAATTAATAATTACTTAATATTAATTATGGGTGGAAACTAATAATTTTTATGCTGGGCTAAGTAAAAGATTGTAAAAATTTGTTTTATAACTGTTTTAATGAGACTACTAGAAAATGTAAAACTACATATATGGCTTGCGTTCTATTTCTGTTGGACAGAGCTGATACAGAACCTTGCGGCCTTGATCATATACTTACCTCTAGTGTGGGGCCAACTCTCAGTTATTGTCTAATGCAAAGTCTAGCTTCTCCTACCTTAATTCCCTAGGTCTGCCCTTGCAGGGAAGTGAGGTGTCCCCTTAAATGAAAAAGAACCTCCATTGGGCTGCTTATCTTCTATTCTGCTTGGTTAACTTTTTAAAAACTTTGTATCTGGAAAATTTGTTTTAATATGCTATACCAGAAATATATGATTTTTATTTTTAAAAAAATCAGAAAATACTGACAGTAAAAAGAACAAATAAAAGACCAATAAAATCCAATACCCACAGATAATCACTAATGGTATTTTGGCATATATCCTTCCTGAAATTATCAGTACATAGATACATATAGAGGCATGTACACACACACACACACACATTTACATATTTATTTTAGCAAAATGGGATCATACTGTATATATTGTTTTCTATTTTCTTTTTTACCAAGGTAGAAACATCCTTCCGTATCAATAAAAATATTTTTTCAATTTCATTTTTCATGACTTTCCTCAAAAGTCACCTTAGAAATGAGGGTTTCCCTGACTATTCTATTTAACATTGAAATTTATACTTATACCTTCCCACTTTCATGCTAATGAATTATTTTTCTTTATAGCATTTATCACTTTATAACATGAAATGTTATGTTAGTGAATATTGTGAACTGAAGTGAGTACCGGGGAAAAATGCTTTTTGTCATTAGAGGCTGAACCACAAGTGGGGACTTGGTCACCATCACACAAAGATTTGGGGTAAGTTTTCTTTGTTTCGGTTTGTTTTTTGTTTGTAGCCATCCCAAAGTACTGCATATACACACCCTCTTAAGATTTGGGTTGGCGCCTGGGTGGCTCAGTCAGTTAAGCATCCTACTTTGGCTTAGGTTGTGATCCCAAGGCTCATGAGTTAGACCCCCATCTCTGCCTCTGTGCTGACAGCTCAGAGCCTGAAGCTTGCTTCAGATTCTATGTCTCTCTGTCCTCCTCTCTCTCTGCCCCTCCTTCACTAGCACTCTGTCTCTTTCTCTCACAAAAATAAACTTTAAAAAAGATTTTTTAATAAATAAAAAAATATTTGGGTTGGCATAGATGGAGTTCTTGGCTTTGGGCCTTTGGCAGGGGTTAGGAGATAGGGGAACAACTCTGATTTTCTTTTCTTTTTGGTCTCAACACTTTCCCAAGTCCCTGTTACTTTAATTCTTGCCCTTAACAAGGTTACGAAAAGATGATTAGATCAAGAAATGTCCTGACACCAGGCTATAGAGTGTAGAAGTCACAAACCCTGTTCAGTCCTTCTCATTAAACTCTGGGCTTTATTTTTTTTTAATACGACCATTACATATTACACAAAAATAAAAGTCAAATGAACTTGATATTTATAAATTATTAAATAAAAATACAGGAATATATATTTATATTTATAGAGCTTTTTCTTTTCTTCTAAACTAACCAAATCTGTTCTCTCGCCATTTTATGATTTAAAAAAGTAAAATAGTATATACCCTAGAATAAGTGGGGAGTGGGATTAATAATCGCAGGAGCTAGTTGCCCTACTTCTGCTCCTTCCTTGGCCTAAGCAAAGTCCCTATATGTCCCTTTGGGCTCTGGAGAGCAAGAAACACCCTCTCCACCTATTTAATCTCTGAAAAATGGCAATTAGATTTATTTCCCTTATTTAAAAAAAAAATGAAATAGATTTAAAAATTGGGAGCCATACTCAGCCTTCCTGGCCAAGAGCTAATCCCAAGGAACTATATGGCTCTAGAAGAGAGTCTCTAGTTTTCCCTGACAGAAGAGTCTCTGGGGTTTCCATTGCCCCTCAAGCTAAAAAGGACAGGACAGTCAAAACTGCCCACTACGGTCCCATCCAAGCTATGCTTCTGGGAATCCAAGCCCTTTACCCTTTCAGAAAACAACCTCTCCTTCTCCCCAGGTGTAAAGGCCTCAGAGCAGGGCATTTCGGTTACCTGACCATGGTCCCTGCTGCTCCTGTTTGCTAAAGGCCCCCAGGAAAGTTAACAGGGATAGGTGGTCTTGTGGTAGAGGGGAGGGTGAAGAGTCTGCCCCAAACCTGGGGGAGCACAGGCTCCAATTTGGAGCTGATGGTCTAGTCAGTGGTTTTCCAACTTTATTTTTTCAGCAGCAAACCCCTTAATGCAAATAAAATCTTACCCTGAACCCCGATATGTAAGACAGCTATGAGGGGAGCTATTCTGTTTGAGGACAAGTAGCCCAGCCTGCTTAGCAACCTCCCCCACCCCGCTTTCACCTCCCCAAGGCCTCCTGAGGCAACCCCTGGGAAACCTCAGAGCTCTGCCAAGCAGTCTGAAAACCACTGGTCTAGTTTGTCCTGAGCAAGTCAGAGACCTCACCCCACCCCAACTGCCTGCCACAGACCAGCTCTGAGTTTCTGGTATCAGCATACTCACGACGGACCAAGTGGCGCATGCAGTCTTCCACCTCCCCTATAAATACCACTAAAAAGTGCAGCCCTCTCTCAAAAGCAAAAGTCTGGGCTAAACACCTGAGGCCAATTTTGGTCCCACATTCTTGTGAGTACAACTATGTTGCCACATTTTGGGACCAAGTGAAAATCCCAAGAGTCAACCATGGTCTAGCTAAGCTGATCAGTGCTCAGGATCAAGGGCAGGGTTCTAGAGCACTGTGTCTGAAGTCAGCATTGGAGAGCAGCAATTTTAGCACCTTGGGAAGTGCAGCAGTGAAGTCTGGCTCAGGGCATGCATCTGGAGTGAAATCATTTCTTTCTCAAAAGAAAAAACTATAATCAGAATCTGTTCTAGAGGACTGTGAGCTCTAAAGTTAACGTCCTCAGACTCAGAGGTACAGACAAGTAACACCCATGCAAACAGCGTGGCTTCAAAGAAAATATAAATGCTTCTAGGTCGTGGTAGGTACTCTAGAACCCATATACCTGGCCCTTGATAAAGCAGCACCAAAGCTTACTGCATGGAATAGGCCAGTCACGGAGTATAGGTCACCCTCACACCTATGGGAGTTCAGAGCTGGAATGTTCCTCTCAAGGCATCAACAGTCTCACTGAGACACAGTGCAGGACCCAGACTAGATCAGCATTTACCTCCACGCACTCACAAGGAAAATTAGAGTCCCAATTTAGAGTTTGAATTTGGGTACAGATGGTCCCAGAGACAGGGAACGCTTTAGGCACCAGTGTGCCCCAGTGGGAGAGGAGGGTGGCAGGTAAGTCCAGCTCCCCACCCACCCCCACTTGCAGACTCCTCGGCCTTGTTTTCAGTCAGAGCCCAGGAGGCAGCAGCAAGTGCATGATGCACAAGGAATGGGGATGGTGAAGCAACTGGGCCAACTACAGAACTTCTCTCCAAAGCCCTGCAAATGAGTTTCTGTGGAAAAGTGCCCAAAGCCCTCTTCTGGATACAGTGTTTCTCCCATAGCCTTGAGGCATCAGGACAAGGAAAGGGGGAGGAGGGGGCAGAGAACTGCCCCTTGTTCTTGCCACTTCAACGGGAATGTTTTCTCCGTGAATGTGGCTGCCACCAGGTTAGACAAGCAGCCCAGCATGCACACAAGCGCACGTGCACATGCACACGCATGTCCAAGCAGCCAAACATCACAGCCACCTCTCCCTATCACCTGAGAACTCCAAGCTTCCATTCCAAAGGTTGTGCCTTCTGTGTTTTCCCCAATGTGTTTCACTCATCCAATGGAGACACAACCCTTTATGCAAGTCCTCCTTCCTTAGGGCTACAAAGTAAGCTCTAGTTATAGTTTTGTGTGCCTATACCTATAGGCATGATCTCTCCCACCTCCTCCCAACCCTGGAATGACTTCATCTCCTGGCCTCCTCACTTTCCAAATACATCCCCCATTGTCTCCAGCTCAGCCCTCCGACTGCCTGCCTGGCACACACAGCTCCTTCCCACAGTACCCTGCCCCTTCCCATCCCCATTCCATGCCCATCCATTCACCCTACTTCTTCCAAGGGCATTTCTCTTGTTCTGTTCCTGCTCTCCTCTCCCCCAGCTACACCTAGCCCCACCTGGCCCTGGACTTTCTCACTTGCTAGCAAAAAAGGCTCCTACAGTTACCAGGGCCCCCAGTGCCACGGCCCCTGTCAGCACTGTCCTCACTGAGGCCCAGTTCCCCTCCCGCAGACGCCGCGCCTCCTCCAGGGCCCCGTCCCCGTATAGAGCTGTGAACTCCGCCTGTGGGAGAGAAGGGAAGTAGGAGAGAAAGAAGGAGAAAGGGATATCAGGAGAGGAAAGAGTGGAGGAAAGAGGAGAGGAAGAGTTCCAGTTCCATCCACTGCAAGCACTATCCCATATCCAGCTCCTCTCCAGCCAAAGCTCTACTGGCTGCAAGCCCCAATCATCCCCCATGAGCGCCTGGCTCATCTGCCCTCTCTACCTCAAGTGAATCCCAGCCTTTCCCTGGCCAAACATTTTGCTCAGAACTGGCATCCTTTCCCAAGGCTTTCCTGACTACCACCCATCCCTGATATCCCCTGCCCATGCCACGTACTCTCGTGTAAAAAGCTCCTGACAGCTGGATGCCATTTCCCTGCAGGCACTGTGTATTCTCTCCTCTGCTTTGGACCATGAGCCCATCCAGTAATGACTGCATGGCAGCCCTGGAGTGCAGAGTCCAGCGTGACACCCATGGTGAGGGCAACTGATTCCACCCAAATAAGGAGACTCAGCCCCCAGCCTCCAGCCAGAACCCTGGTCTTCCCTCTGGAGACCATCTTTGCAGAGGGGTGTGCAGAGCAGCAATTGAGAAGCTTCTTACCCAGCCCCCACTGCTGTGGATCCAGTCAGCCAGCCGTGTCTCCAGGTAGGCCACCATCCATTCTTGCACTTGTCCCACAAGTGGCTCCATCTCCTTGTTGACACTCTCAGCACACAGCGCGGCTCCAAAGACAAAGAAGGCCACAAGGCGGCCCCAGTTGGGGCCTCCTTGGAAGAGTTCATCAGAGACCTGGGTGAAGCGTTGCTGGGCTGAGCCAGGGGTCACATGCAACTGGGCTGCCAAATCAGAGAAGGTGCGCCGGAAGCGGGTCTCAAACTCATCTCCAGCTGCCCGCATGGCTTGATGCAGTGGGTCAGCTGCTGGGCCCTCCCCAGGGCCTGCTCCACAAACATAACCCTTCTGCCTCAGCTTATAGCCTACAAAGTCTGCCACTAGAGCCCGTGTGTCTGGGGCTGAGGCTGGGGTCGCCATCCGGGCAGCTGTAAGAGTCAAGGATGAAAGACCGGCATGAATATATGGTCAGAGAGCCAGAAGGTGCACTTCAGGCTTGGCCAACCCAGTGAGAGGTGGGAGGAAATGCTCAGAGACCACTGGGCAGGGAGGGGCAAGAACATGGGAATTAAGTCAAGGTGAGAGGCCAGAGCATGAGGGGCTGGCCATTAATTTGTAATATGTCAAATTAAATGTAAAACAAGTAAATTTTATTTTTAAAATACTTTAGATTCTTTCCATAATAAAAGAACACCTACTCTATAACACCCCTACAAACCCCCTTTCCACAATACACACCATTTTGGCTTAGGGTCTTAGTACCTCCCCAGAGGGAAGATGTGAAGATGCTGCCAGAGGCCCAAGATGGGGGAGGAGACAGGGGCTGAAGGAAAAGGTGGGATAAGCAAAGGACTGCCAGGGACAGAGAAGGAAGGGGACACTCA